CCTCGCTCGCTAATATTACCTTGTTCAGCAGAGCGAGGACCAACTCGATGTCATTGTGACTCTGCTGGTCCGACAGGCTGCCCCGGACCTGCTTCAGCGACAGCAGCAGCTCCTCCAACTCTGCAGAGACAGAGCACACGTGTTCAAAGCAAGCACACACATAGCTGACCTCAGACGAACAGTGTGTCCTCCTGTGTGTGTCAGCGCTGCCGCCCAACAAACAAACTCTTAATTAAGTCGGGTGCTTCACTCCCTCCCTGAGGAATTCCCTCCCTGACTGGCGTCTGACATTCTTGTTCACTTTCCTCCTTTTTCAACGCTGTCAGCATCTCTTTAACTTCCACCTCCTCACCCTTTGACCCCTCAGATCTGCACAGTAATAACTGCTGTGTGTGTGTGTGTTACCCAGCAGCGCGTGTGTGTGCTGGCTGCTGAGCGCTGGCAGCTGCGGTGTGTCTTGCAGGAATGTGGGGTTGTCGATCCCGCTGTAGGGATTCTGGGAGAGGTTCCTGAGTCTGAGTGAGGCGTTCAGATCCAGCTGCCGACCCTCCTCTTCTCTACGACGCCGAAGGTCCTCCTGACACACAAACACAGAGCAGAGGAAGTTACACAGGAGGCCCTCCATATTCCTCATGCATCAGAGCACACATGGCGTCCTCTACACCGACCTGTGCACGCTGAGCTGTGATTGGCTCTGTGCTCAAAGCCCACGTGAGTGTGTTATGTAAATGAAACCCACATCAGGTAAAACCTGACGATGCTCAGGACTGAAAAATCAGCCGGAGCAATCCCACGCCCACTCGAGGAAACTAAACCTCGTGTTGGCTGCAGCTCATTCTGAGCCAACACCTCCCCCACACGCTCAAATCAGCCTGAAAGTTTACCCACAATGCACTTAGTGAAGTTTCCTGCACTAAATAACTCAGAGAAGTGTTTGCAGGAACTAACCTGAGCCTCCGAGGGTTCGCTCAGGCGTGCTTTCATCCCACTGTCATTACACAAAACCTGTCACAGTGAAACATGCACAGCCCCAAACGGAACACCTGATGATAAAGGCCCCACCCACGCAGGTGTCTCTGTGTCGTACCTGATGCTGTCGTATCCTCTCCAGCTGAGCGGAGCGTCGCAGAGGCAGCGTTCGGCTGCCCAGGTCTCCCGGACAGTCCACGGCCATTTCTCGGTGCTGCTGTCCTCCCCTCGCCTCTTCATCTCCTCCTCCCTCTCCAGCAACATGGCCATTCAGATGGGAGGTCGTCATCCCTCGCATGCACGCACGTCTTGTACTGTGTGCGTTTGATTCGATTCCTCAGACGGGCAGTTTCTACGATGGTTATGTTCCTGAGATGTTTAGGAGGGTAAGTCGGTGAAGAAGGCAGCCATGACACCGTCACCTGTGCAGGAAGCAGACACACAAGGTCACCTGGGTTGAAGGAGCAGATGAGGCAGATGAGTCTGCTTAGGGCTGTTCGATATAACGATATATAT